GAGCAGGGGGGCCAGGCCGGGCAGGACGATGACGTCGCAGGGCACCTCGCCGCCGCCTCAGAACATGTCCACTCAGGTGAGCCTCTTGCCGCATCTTTCCTTTCTTCCTCACCCTTTCTTTTCAATTCTTGTGAGCTTCGCATTTACGACAGTAGTTTGTTAAATCATATTAAGTATTATTTATAAACAGCAAAATATTAGGAATCGTCCAGAAAGTACGTCCGTCATTTGCCGTTACAAACCTACTAAGTTCAGCCTCTGCAAGCTCACAGAGCGCCTGAATGGTAGGCAACATCTTGCCTGCAGTACACGCGTGTACTGCGTTGTGGGCTACCATGCGTTTTGCAGGCGCTGAGCTTCCCTAAACAAATCTGACAAAAAACGACGTACTTGATGGACGGTCCCTAATCAGAAATTTGTAGTTTTATATGTGTTATTGTGATATCTGCCATCACTGCCTTTACTGCATTTACGCTCTTACTAGCTGCGAACGCTCACGCCTTTAAAATCGGCAGCACAATGCTGTTTTCAGTCACTTTTGTGTTTCCGCTCTCTTTCTTGCGGTGGAACATACAAGTCTGTGTTACGTGGAACCCCCGGCCCCGGGCTACCCGTCACTTTTAACCCTATAACTCTGTGTTCTTTCTCTGTTCGTGGTCGTCCTCGTCTCTTTTGCACGCGGCACTGTCGTTTTGCTCTCCCCCGACCCGACCCCACTCGATACTGTCCGCGAGAGGAAAAGGGGAGACGAAAGAGGAGAGGGTAAGTGTTTGGCTGATCCGCACGCAGACGTACGAGGCCTTGGCGCCGCCCAGCTCGGTGTCCTCGGAGCACGGCGACGAGGAGGTGGTGGCGCCTCCGCGCGCCTCCCCGCGGCCGCGCGCCAGCTCCCGCCTGTCGTACAGCGGGGCGAGCACGGGCGGCGGCAGCGTGGCGCGCTACCAAGCCCGCCGCGACTTCCGCCGCGACCCCCGCCGCCTGCGGAGGGCGCAGTCCGTGGGGCTCACGGGCGACGAGCTGCAGTGGGCGCAGCTGCAGCGCTCGCTCTCCAGGCAGTCGCTCAACAGCGACTCGCAGGTACGTGGTTGCAGCTCGGCGCGCACTAGCGTCGCCCCCAGACAACAACACAAGGTAGAACGCGCGCTTCAGCTGGTCGCACGCAGCGAACGAGAGGCCTCTCGTTCGAGGAAAGCTAAGTTTGACGGCGCGTTTCACAACCCTATCCTTATTTCACGAGTGGTTTGATTTCAACAAAAGCCCGAAACGAGTGCACGTTTCTGAAAAGAAAACCTTGCCCATAATATAGTGCGAGGTGGTTGATTCGCCCCTCGCGCCCCCGTAGCTAGACTGTACCGCAGTGCACGCAAGCGGGCGGCGGGGTGCCTACTCGCTCAGGCACCATAGCCAGCAGGGGGAAGGCAAATCCGCCCGTGCGAGTGCGTGTGCGTGTGCTACACCCTAAACTGTGAATGTGGACACGGATAACCAGCCAACCCGTAACAACACAGTAAACAGAAACCGTGGTTGGTTTGAATGAGACACTGATGGTCGTTTTCCTCCTCGCGCAGAGTCTGCCCATGTCCCCGCGGGAGCTGAGCCCGGCGCGCAGCTACGCGGGCGGGCTGAGCAGCGCCGGCCGCTACCTGGACGACGACATCGCCTACCCGTCGCCCGTCAGGCCCGCCAGGGACGCGCACCGCTGGGACCGGAGGCCTTCGAATCCGGACTACGGCGGCTCGGCATTCCAACGGGTGTGCTTGCATGGACGCGCATGGGTCATAACCAATCACAAGCTCTGGAGGCATTCTCCTCTCCGTATCTCTAACCTTTTACCTGATATGCAGGGCTGGATAGCCACATCTTTATCTTATTTTTTCGCATTTACAAACAGACCGAGTGGACAGTTTTAGTTAAGCGGGGCGTGATCGTACTTATAGAATCAATCGTATTGTAGTGAAAGTCGCTGGGGGGGCTCCTTGGCGATTTGAGAGAGATCGACAGCGTTTTGTTTCACGTCCCCGTTTCGTTCCAGCCCCTGGAGCGAGCGCTGGAGAGGAGCAGGCGGAGCATCAGCAGGGCGGGGTCGCAGCCGCCGGACTACTTCCACACCATCGAGGACCTGATGCACATCCAGTCGCGGACCGAGTCCATGAAGACGCAGGGTCTGGAGCTGGTGCGCCTGCTCAGGGTGAGTCGCGGTGACCGGGGAAGCTGTCCGCGGTCCGGCGCGAGGCTAGCTCCATTATTGTCCTGCTGCAGGAGGCGGAGGTGCTGGGCTTCACGGCGGAGGACCTGCAGGCGGCGCTGGCGCACTGCGGCGACCGCTCGCCCATCGCCTGGCTGCAGGAGAACTGGCGCAACATGATGGACACGGTCGTCACCCTGGCCACCAACTACGGCCACGAGCGCCGCGAGAACACCGTGGGCACCATCTCGGTGGAGGAGGCGCGCGAGGCCCTGCGCACGCACAAGGGCAACGTGTGGGCGTCCGTCACCGAGTGCGTCGAGCAGCGCCAGAAGAAGGTGAGTGGTCCTGATGAAAAAGGAAGGTACCGATCATCGAAACAATGTAAAAATCATGACGACTTTGGAAATCTGTCGGTTTTCAGGTAAGATTCACAAAAATGTGGGTGTGAAATTGAAATATATCTAGTACAGTATGATTCCAAAATAACACAAATAAATGCAAACTAAGGTTTTATTTTGGCGGTAGTTGGATTGTTGTTACGTCTGCTACAGTACGCCGAGTTGCTGTCGCGAGGAAATTTCACGCGCGAGGACATCGTCACCTCGCTGACGGCGAACCACGGCAACCTAGAGGCCGCCTACGTGGAGCTGAGCAAGACGCAGCTGAAGCCCTTCCTCATGCGTATCTGGGGGCCACCGTCGGTTGGGACGGAGAACGAGGCCGGCAACACGGGCGTGCTGGAGGTCGGCGTCGAGGCCGCGAGGGCGGCCACGGTGGCCATGCCGACGGCGGCCCCCGTGGCACCTGCAGGCATCGTCTCCAGAGCAGCCGGAAGTCGCAAGAGCAGCCTGCTCTCCGCTTCGCAGGACGTAGACGAAGGTGTGGAAGGAACCCACTAGCACGAACACGAACACACTGCTTTGGAACTGACACTTAACTCCTGTGCATCACCTTGTTTTGCAGACGACAGCATCGGGGACTTTGTAGACGCTCGTTCGGATCTGGAGCTTGACGTGGGAGTAGCGGTAAGTCCACGGCCGGAAGACGGGGTAGCCGCTGTCGACAGCAGCGAGCTTGTGGCAGGCGTCCAGGTCCAGGTACACCCTAAACGGGACGATCAGGGCGTCGCGCTCGTGTCGCCGATGAAGGTCGCGACCCCGCAAACGCCTCAGCAAGGGGCTGAGTTGGGTCAGCAGCAGGCTGAGGCGCCCACCGGCGCACCACCAAAACCTCAAGAATTCCCCAAGTCTGTCCTGAGCTCTCAAACAAGCCAACCTTTTGCCCTCAGTGGCCTTGTGATGAACGCGGCTGCCAGCGCCGCCGCCATCAGCATCGCCGGGGTGGCCGCGGAGCCCACGAGCACCACCATCGCCGAGCAGCCAGCGCCCAACGGGGCGCCCGCCGAGGCGCCCGCGGACAGGCACTTGGACGAGACCATCCTCCGCCTGGAGCAGGAGATCTCACTGCTTAAACGCCAGACTGGAGAGCCTGACCCGGACCATAAGTTCATTGAGGGTCTCATCGAGAGGCTCAAGGACGTCCGCGTGCAGAAGGGTGGTAAAGCCCAGGAAAGAGGCGCCAACGAGGTCAGAGTGCCTCCACTGGCTGCACCCGGTGAGCCGCCAAAAGAGGCGCCCAAGGCGGCACCCAAGGAGGCACCCAAGGAGGCGCCCAAGGAGGCGCCCAAGGAGGTGCCCAAGGAGACGTTGAAGGAGCTGCCCAAGAAGGAATCCAAGGAGACACCCAAGGAGACGCCCAAGGAGACGCCCAAGGAGCTGCCTAAGAAGGCATCCAAGGAGACGACCAAGGAGGCGCCCAAGAAGGCATCCAAGGAGACGACGAAGGGAGTGCACAAGGGGACATCTAAGGATGCATTCATGGAGGCGACCAAAGGAACTACTAGTGAACCAGCCAAGCAAGCGTCCAAAGAGGCGTCTCAGGAGGACACTGTCGTCCACGGCAAGCTCCGCATCGAGCAGACGGGCGTCCCGGCGCTGGAGCGTCGATCGAGCCGGCATCACAGGTCGGAGCGCAAGAGCCACATCTCGGTGCAAGAAGCCAAGGGTCCCCAGATCACCCTGGCTAAGGAGGAGAAGAGGACCGCCCAGACAGCAGCGCAGAGCACCGCAGCACCGCGCCGCCCCGAGCGCCTCCAGCGCACCGTCGTGGTGACGAAGGCGCCGCTGGCGCTACGCCCCGTCGTCTCTCGCGTGCCCGTGCCAACGCGGGCCATTCTCTTGGGGGACAGCGTGGACTTGTTGCAGGGAGTCATCGACGTGCCGGAGAGCGAGAAGCAGGCCCTGAGCCTGTACGCCAAGCGCATTCAGAATGCCATTGCGGCGGAGAAGGCGCTGCCCCCGCCAGCTGCGGAGGATGGCGATGAAGACGAGTCCGACGAATCGGAGGCGGACAGCCTGGAGAACAACGTGAGCACTAGGGAGGAGCTGGTGCGCCAGGTCACCGTCGTGGAGGTGCGGAGGAAGAAGTCGGACCCCGCGGAGCCCAAGGAGGCCGACGTCGCCATCGCAACCGTACCCACCCCGAGCACGAAGAGCACGGTGACAGCGCGGCCTCTGCAGAGCGTCGCCAAGCAGCTTCCGCAGCCTCAGTTAGTCAAGCAGAAGAGTCAGCAGAACGGCGCGAGCTCGTCGAAGAAGGCCCAGCAATCCGAGAAAGGCCCCAAGCAGGCTGTGCCGCCACCAGCGCGTCAGCAGTCTAAGGCCGCGACACAGCCACAACCGCCCCTAGCTACTCCGTCCCTGAAGGAACAGCCGCAGAAACATCAACAACAAAGCCAGGGCGCTAAAGAGCTTGACCCCCAGCCGAAACAGCAGCCCGCAACGCAGGCAAAACAATTGCCCAGCAAACTGCCGCAGCCCCAGGCCAGGGCCTCCCTCCAGACGCCTCCCAAACAGCAGGCTCAACTTGCAGTCCAACAGCAACAGGAGAAGATCGCGAAGCCTGGATCAGAGAAGCAGGGAGCCTCACAAACTGCACCGCCAGAGAAGCAATCTGCATCGCTGGACAACAGAAAGGCTCTAGAACAGCAAAAATCTGCACCGGTAGAAATCAAGAATTCCCAGAGGCCAAAGTCCGAGTCTGGGGAACAGAACAAGCATCTGGCGCCCGAACAGCCGCCCTCACAAAACGGCCAGGTGGAGAAGACTCCCGCCACCAATGTGGAAGTCCCGAGGACCCATGTGGCAGAGGACGAGGACTCCGACGAATACGAAACGGAGGAGGAGTACGAGGATGAGGACGATGAAGAGGATGCGAGCGAGGAGGAGGAAGAAGAAGACGGAGAAGAGGAAGGCGATGAGGAGGATGAGGAAGATGAGTCGGACGATGAAGAGCTGAAAACGGCGTGGGACAGCGTCGATGACAGCGCCCCGAAGGAGAGGACGGCCACGGTAGAGATCGTCCCCATGATCAAGGAGCTGATCGTGCCCAAGCCCCCGGCGGAGATCCCCAAGGAGGTGAAGGAGCGGCTGGAGCGAGAGGTGAGCCGTGTGTGCTGCACCCGTGCTGGCCCCGCCTGCCTGCACCTGCCTCCTCCACCTGGGGCGGCGTGGCCCCACCCCCTCCGACCCGCGCCGCCCCAGCCCCAATTTACCCTTGAAGATGGAGTAGAAACAATACCCTGCTACAAGCGTGCGCGTGTTTTTGTGAACTTTCGCCCATGCTTTGGTTATGCCTTCCCAGTTAATATAGTCCGGCCAGCCAGCCAAGGGTGACGCCTCGCGTCGCATGAGCTCTTATGGGCGGCTACAGCAAACCCAGGCGTCACCTTTGGCTGGCCGAACTATACGAGGGGAGCCGCGGGGAGCGTACCGCGTTACGTGTCCATTTTTCCTCCCCTCCCCCACCCTCCATTCCATTTCACAGAAAACTCGTCTTTGTGAAATTGCGTGAAATTTGTGCAGTCTTCCCTGGGAGATTCGTACCAAATTCGCACAAGGTTTCGCATATGTCGATGTTTGCTGTGCTTGCCCCTGTTTGCGACGGTGACCCCGGTCTTGTTCTGCAGCGGGAGGCGCGCCGCTTCCTCGCCGAGGGTCTGGTCGCCTCGTACGACGAGGCCGAGCTGGCGGCGCAGCTGCTGCAGATGCAGTTCTCGCGTGAGGACGCGCTGGGCGCCGCCACCGAGTGCACCACGCTGCAGCAGGCGCTCGCCTTCCTGCAGCAGGAGTGCGAGCTCTGCACCGGCAAGTACCCCATGAAGCAGGTGAGTACCCCATGCGAGCACCGACGTCGGCAACAGCCTTTCAGAACCTTGACGAGTACCGCACACCACGCTATGCTCCAGATGGTGTCCATGCTCAAGTGCGTCCACCGCTGCTGCCGAGACTGCGCCAAGAACTACTTCACGGTGCAGGTGACGGATCGCAGCATCGCGGACGCCAACTGTCCGTTTTGCAAGGAGCCCAGCCTGGACGGAGCCAGCGACGACGACATCCTCGAGTACTTCAGGTAAGACTAGGCCTCCCCCCAGTGCCACGTGGAGTAGAGACATCCCCTCACAAGGAGCCCCGCAATCAACTTTCCCCGAGGCGACGCGAGGCCGCGGAACCATTAAGAACCGTTTAGAGCTTTGCGCCCCCTCCCCCTTTTCCCTTTACCCTTCTAAAAATGTGTCTAATTCCGTCATGGCTTATAGAGTGTGAGCCACTCTACAGCAAATTACATAGGTCTGGGTGAGGCAATGATAGCGCCTGCGACACACTGGGTAGGCCGACCCGCCAAGCAGCTGTGTGCAGCATGCGGCCCGTCCTAAGGCGCTCCAGTAGAGGCTCGAGCGAGCTCCGGCGCAGGGCGAGGGCGGGGGCTCGGGTAACGGAACGGAATGGAACGCTCTAGTGTGTGAACTCGGGGAACGCTCATTGTAGATTGAGCTCCTCATCTATGCACTTGAACTTTGTATTACACCACCAATGGAACTTAAAAAGTTGGGAACTTAATGTAATGATGCAATGTATCTTGTGCCCGCTCTCGCAGCAACTTGGACATCGTGCTAAAGACCATCCTGGACCCGCCCGTGCACGAGCTGTTCCAGCGGAAACTGAGAGACAGAACGCTCGTTATGGACCCCAATTTCCGTTGGTGCGTGAAGGTAAATATATTTTCAACTTTCCTGGGAAAAAAAAAGAAAGATCATGGAGCAAAACAAAAATTCTTTCGTACGAATATAATACTCCTTTTATTCGCAGTGTGACTCCGGGTTCATCGCAAATCCTCGACAGAAGCGCCTAGTGTGTCCCG